AAACCAAACATTCCCAGTTACATGGATGTAACAATGTAGTTTGCAGCCTCAATTTCTTGAATGTCACTACACAAGTTTACACCTTATAGGACTTCTCCTTTACCACTTTCAAAAGCAGCATCTACAATGAAAGGAGACACACCATCTAAAGCCAGGGTTAAGGGTTTTGTACAGGATTTGGATGACCAAGGCTGTATTCCCAACCAAGTTACAAGCTGTTCGTGACCCTGGTTATATCAGTCAGACAAGACCACAAAACAGACCTCAACGCAAGGTGTTCCTTAGAGTTCAAACCCCTTCTCTGCCTGAGGACACACCAGCTTTGCTCTCTAAGGCTCAGTCTCTACCTGGTCTACAGTGCACAGTGGAAACAGCTCAATCTACCCCGAGACTCTACCCCACTCACAAAAGGCTGCATGTGATTACGAAGCCCTGCAGTGACATGGTACTGCCCTGTTAAATAAAACAAGAAAAGTTCCTGCTCAAGGATCACAGTACACACATGCCTTCATTTAAAGTTGTAATGCAAAATAAAGCAGTTTCTACAGAACAGACTAAAAGAGGTAAATTCCCTATCAGCTGAATAAAGCAACTCCCCATTAAACAGACGTCTACATCCCCCCAAAGCAGGTACCAGATTTCCCTGTACTGTATAGGGAACAATTCTTGGCCACTCACCACTGCTATCTGTCAAAACCCTAACCTCTTTTGGGTATTCTGAGCATAGCATTCCTGTATTTCTGCTTATACAGATACACTGGGAGATTCAAAATCTGAGGCATACAGTTACTGTGCTAGCAGGAACTACACAAATACCTCAAGGGGGATTTGTGTCCATTGTCTCCAAGGAGGTTTTGGTATTTTTAAATCACCAACTAAAGCAGGTGGCTGAGTACAAACACAAGATTGATAATATTGATTGATGGAGTATTGTGTGCAGTTCTGGTGTCCTCAACATAAAAAGGACATGGAACTGTTGGAACAAGTCCAGAGAAGGGCCACAAGGATGATCAGGGGACTGGAGCACCTCCCATATGAAGAGAGGCTGAGGAAGTTGGGGCTGTTCAGCCTGGAGAAGAGAAGGCTGCGTGGAGACCTCATAGCAGCCTTCCAGTATCTGAAGGGGGCCTATAGGGATGCTGGGGAGGGACTCTTCATTAGAGACTGCAGTGACAGGACAAGGGGTAAAGGGTTAAAACTTAAACAGCGGAAGTTTAGGTTGGATATAAGGAGGAAATTCTTTCCTGTTAGGGAGGTGAGGCACTGGAATGGGTTGCCCAGGGAGGTTGTGAATGCTCCATCCCTGGCAGTGTTCAAGGCCAGGTTGGACAAGGCCTTGGGTGATATGATTTAGCATAAGGTGTCCCTGCCCACAGCAGGGGGGTTGGAACTGGATGATCTTAAGGTCCTTTCCAACCCTAACAATTCTATGATTCAATGATAACAGCCACACACAAACTGACTTTCTTTTCTCCTCTATCATGGCAAACTAACTACCAAAGCAATAATCAAGACTGTATTTCTACATACATAAGAACTCCCACTGGCATAAACAGGAGTTTAGGGTGAGCTAGACATATATAAAAGTCATTCCTCCTAATAAGCACATTTTGAGCTGTCAAGAGTGATTTGAGTATAACACTAAGTAGTGTGAAGAGACAGCCATAATCATTCCACATTAATTCTAATTGCAGGAAGATGAAGGTCAAGGGACAAAAAGCAAAGCAAAACTAAAAGCAGTATTTGTGAGATTGAAAAGGACAAAACCAGTTGGAAAATAATTTTATTTTTCAGACTTCTAAGAAAATTTACAAACAATGGTGGTGTAAAAAAAGCAGCCTATAAAAAAGGTTGACAGAATTTCTAAAACTATAGCATCAAATGAAGTTACAGAGCAACAAGCGTACAGTGAATTTCTATTCATCAAAATAGTATTAGATAAGTAGTTGAAAATGCAATAAGTCTAATAATAAATCTCTACAGCTTACTCAGAATTCCCATAACAATCCAACATTCTGAGTTTAAAATATACTTACAAAACACAATGATTTCATCTCTCCATTCATCTATAGCACTGAAATTGCCTAGGAAAAAATTACATAGGAAAGGCACACCTTGTTTAGTTAGTAAAGAAGGACATTTTGAGCACTCTACAATAACATACAACAGAAAGCAAAACACCCTGCATGCCTGCGAAATACAATATAGAAATAATATAAATAATATTTAGTGACTTTCTGTGTGCTGGTTCTATTCTTTAGCCAGAGTGAAAAAGAAAGGCTTCCTTGCCCTATTTTCTGTTTGAACCTTGGCACTTTCTCAGGGTATGCTCTACCTATGTTCATCCTCACTCTTATAAGCGAGTGGGTGGTTCTTAACCAAATCCATCCCAATCACAAACGCCACCATGCCTCGCACATATGCAAGTCTTCATCCTGCAACCTGCCTCCAACTCTTCACATGCTGAGCTCCAACACACACAGACAACGTGCCCAAATCTAACCTTAATTTGCCAAAGTTTACATTCAGGGCAAAAAACAAACCAATGTTTATACCTTTTATTACTGCCACAGACTTTCCTCAACTCAGGGAACTCACTTTAAATAGCAGGCATTTAAAAACCATCAACACAATTTAATTAACAGCTTAGCTTGAAATTGCAAAGGAGCTCCAAACACTAAAGCCTTCTGAACATGAATTTGAATAAACGTAAAAAAACAGAGCCTTCATTAATCCATAAATCAACTCCTCCTGGCCCTAACTACGTCTTAAACATATTATGCTCAGAGCACAAGGAGTAAGAATTGTTTTTTAGTTACAGCATATGGATTTGCGCTTACACTGTATTCATCATGAGAAGAGCTAAAGACCGTGTCCATTAAATACTACTAAAATAACACTTCTTGAGAATTAAGAATCCAGGACAATGTATCAAAAGGTTATTTTTTCCTTTCAAAAGTAAAAACAAGCCCCTGAATCACTGTATTTAATCAGACTTCTTTCCCAACTGCTTACAAATGGGTAGGAAAAAAAAAAAAAGCAGCAGCAGATGTGCATATCTCATGCTAAAACAAGAGTTAGTAAGAGGGTTACACGAAATTTGTTTAAATATTGGCAATTCCTGAAATTCTTGCCAACTGATACTGTTAGGGCAACTAGAAACACCATGAAACATGACAGCACTATGCAATGAAAGATCTGGGTGTGTATGTTTTTAGGGTCAACAGTCAGCTAAAGAAATGTCATAATTTAGCCTTCAATGGCTTTGAAGATATACAATGGAATACTCACTTTCAGCTTCCTGTCTGCCACAGATATCAGGGTAAACTCTGATAAGGTCATGTCTAAGCTGACAATTCAGATCACTCAGACACATTTAGACTATGTGAGCTAATTGTACCTTTACTAATTCTTTCCTTGCTGCCTATAACAAAGCCATCTTGGAGCTTCCTGATCCCAGAGCAGAGCCTTTCCAGGAATCAGTCTCATGCATTTTTCTCACCTTCTCTCTAATTACAGGCAGCAGAGACAGGAAGCTATCAGTAGATACACTGCTGTGCATCCCTCTGCCTGCGCTGCACAGAGAGCAGAAATGGGAAGCTGAATTAGGCTAGAGGGCTAGTGAGGGACTTTGGTGCAGATGGCTGGCAAGGATGATCTTAGAAAGGAACTGATCATCCTAATGACCAGTGTAGCAAAACCTTATAAAGCCTCTCACACAGGTATGAAGGCAGTCAATACAAATGCATGAAACACTGCATTAGAAGAAAATAATCCCTCAAGTTTATAAGCTTTTTTTTTCATAAATTACTATATACTTAAGCCTTTTTCATCGATTTATGTAATCTCACATGCTCAACTAAGATGTATGAACTTCAATGGCAGTATTTAATTGCTCAAGCAAAAGTCTCTCTTACTGAATCCCGGTTTCACCCATTGTATAATTTAAGCATTCCCTCTAACCTTCCCAGCCTTTCAACAGCTCACCAACACAAGCAGCTTTGCTGCCTTCTGGTTTAGCAAATACATTCAGAAAAAAAGTCTTCTCTAGAATGGGTAAAAACAGATACTTTTTTTTCCATGCAATGCATAATTAATGTATGAAAATTACTGCCATAAAAAGCCAAGAGTTTAGCAAGGTTCAAAAATAATTTATGAGAATATCAAAGTCATAGTAACAGATACCAGCAAATGTGTTTAGAAAGGCGTATGAATCTCAGTACTTTAGTGTTTAAGTCATTATGTGACTGGTGATCAGAAATAGTATTTCCTGCAAATATACTACACTAGTAGTAGACCACTAATGAGTTTTTGTATCCTCCTCTAAAGTATCTGTCACTGTCCAGTTATAATACTGGATTAGTTGATCTGCTATGGATTGCCATGCTGACTTGACAATCTCCTCTTTCCCCAGAGAGAAGCTTCACTAATCTGGCTTTTCATGCAAGACATGCTTAAAGTACAATGATAAAGAAAACAGAAACATCAATAATATAAAAATATGCACTGTGGTCACCTTAAGAGCAGCACATAGAATCATAGAATCACAGAATAGTTAGGGTTGGAAAAGACCTTAAGATCATCTAGTTCCAACCTCCTATTTGACCTCCCTTCTTCTTTCTTTTGAAATACCAGCAGCAATGCAGATCAATGTCCTTCATGCTATATTACTATTATATGACAAATTCTACCCTCTCAGTGCCTGTAAAGCTTCTATCTCTGTCACCATAAGCCACCTTCGTAAACCCAAAGCCAAAACTGGCCAATTTAAAAGCAATGACTGATGGCCTATACTGTTCAGTGTTTTCTGGATCAGGCACAGATTTTGAGGAAACCATGTGCTAAGCCTCTCAACTTGAGCATAAACAACACAGAAGTTATTAACCGTTCAAATTATAAAGGAAGCAATAGTACTTATGACCTGTAACTTAAGTCACTTTAAATTAATCATGCTATATTAAGTAAGGCTCATTGGCATCTGCTCAGTGTTACGTATTTACCTTTAGTCCACCACAGATTGGACAAGCTGAAAAAAGAGCTCTTGTCATCCCGAGGTGGGGGCTACATGTGTCACAGGGGTCAGCTGAGGGCCCACCAGGAGGTGACAGCTCACTGCTTTTGGAGTCTGACACCTGGCCTTGTGATTTTGTGTCTGACCACCTCGAGACAAAATCCACATAGGTCTCATCACTCAAGTCCTTGCTGCTTTCTGCCAGTAAGGATGGAGGCCTCCTTCTGTCCTGGCTGTGCTCAGATATCCTCCGTGCTTCCAAGTGTGATAGTAGCAGTTTTGGGTCACTAGCACCTTGAGACAACAGAGCCTGGTCCTTGGATGGCGTGGAATCCGCACTTTTCGGTTGTACATCTTTGGAAGCTGCCTGCAACAAACTCCTGGGTATATCATAAGTGTGTCTGAGAGAGCTGGGAACCTGATACTCCGACCCTGCACCTCTCTGGGGCTCACTGTGAGGACAAGTACATAAACTCTGATCCGAAGGAAAGTTCAAAGGCAAGCTTAGCAATGATCCAAACTCATCACCATGGCAAATGTCCAAGCTCCCAGCATAGGAGGAGAAGCTTCCAGAATAAGAAGAGTGACTACCAGTAGCTATCCCACTGTCAGAAGAACTCTGGCGACCTATTTCCTGTAGCTGTCTGGATCGGAGGGGCTTTGGAGGTGGTTTAGTGGTGCCACGTGCCCCTTCTGGAAGGGTCTTTTCTTCCCCAAGGTGAATGCCCTTTGCAGCTGCCAGTCCATGGCTCTCTTGAGAAGTGCTGGCTGAAGACTGCTCAGGCCAAATTGTCAGCCTGCTCCCAACACTGACATCCGAGTGGCTGGTATCTGAAGATGAGCTTGACAGACTTCTCTCATCTCCTAGAAAAGCAGAACACATCAATCTCACGTTAAAACACAATCAGCAGATTGAAGCATTGAAAGCATTAACAAGCAGCAAAGGACCCTGAGATTCCATCTGCTTTTTGTGAGTGGAACGTCTGTCAGAAAGACACAGTTCCTGCAATAATTTCTATCCCCAAAGGAAAAATAAAATGCAATAGTATGTAATCTTGCCATAGACCTACCACATTGTGGAATATAATGCATTCAGGGTTAAATTTTGAGCTTTTAAGCACAAAGTTCTCCCTTTTCAACCGTATTTTGTTTCTGGATAGTTAATTGTTTTTATTTTAGATACTCCTATCTTAAATCACAGGGAATAGTCACAAAGTCCCATGCTCAGAATAGCTGAGGGTGCTCTGAAGAAAACCTTGTTACTGTAATGCAAATCCATATGAGACATTTCCATGCTTATATTTGAGCTGTACCAACCAATTTATTATCTCATTTGCACGTTGTTTTCTCTATTTAAATCTTATCTGAATGACAAAGTGAATGTTAGAGACCCAAAGATAAAATCAAACTTAAGACTGTCCTATTCTCTACTCTGAGCTCTCCTGCACTGTACTTCTCCATAATATCCATACCAAAACATAACTACACATCACTGTAATGAACAAAAATGAAAATACTATTATTATTTTTATTTTTACATACAAAAGAATGGCCCATGAGGCGTTTGTGCATATATTGCAAGGTTTTGGGTTTTTTTTCTCACTGGTATTTGCAAGGAGGGCACTTCTACAGGTAACTGTTGCTACCCAAGACAGACTATGAAAGAAAAGAGTTAAACATTCACATGAAAGGTCCTTGGGACAAAAGCCAAACATGCAGAAACAAACAAAAACCCACCTTCTATTAACAACAGACGCAGTCAACAATGTTATTTCCTTCCTTCTTAAACCTTCCTTCTTTGTGTAAACAAGGGCTGACAGAAGGATCGTTTTGTAGGTACTAAGTCTAATTCATTTTGTTAATTTTGAACCTTGGGCAGTAAGTTGCCAGATGGAGTAGAAAGGAAGTTTCCACTACAGACTGTGACCTGAGCTCCTGGAGTTACTAGGCTATTTCGACTCTCGGTTGTTGAGGGAAAAGTTTAGAACAATTCTCCCGCTCTTCAGAGAGTAATTCTTGATATACACTGTTACACAATAGCAATGTTTATGCCATAAAATCTAATTCTTTCTTTTCCCCCAGTGCCCATTTGATGACACTGGTTTGTGACCCCTGTGTGAATGCAGCTTCTGAGATTAAATCATACAGCTCTCTAAAGAGAAGGTACAAGTTACAAAAAATATTAGTGTAGGTCTCAGCAACATGCCCAGAAGAAGAAATATAATTGTTAAATTAAAGGTATTTTGCTTACAAAACCATCTCTTTTCATTTAAAAAATAAGACTGTTGAATTTATTTGATCTCACTTCTCTTAGAAAAATACTTTAGGCACTTTAGGGCTCTGGAAGGGATGCTCTCCCACAGTCTTGAAGAAAATGCTCTAATTCTGTAGAGCTAGATGTTTTCCAAGACAGCGGCAGAACCTTTGTCTTCGGGCAAATGTTTTCCTACCAATCCTACAGGGACAGTCTTGGTGTTATGATATATCCCACAAACACAACTGTTTAATTTTCCTATGACAAACTCAAAGACCAGAATATGAAAAACTTTAGGATCCTCTTTCTCTGAGGATTATAACATTCTTAGGAGAATGTATTTGAAATTGGACCATATTTTCTAACCAGAATGACTGAATTAAAAAAAAAAAACACAAACAAACAAAAAAAAACACAAAAAAAAACACCAAACAAAACAAAAACCAAAGAAACAAAAGAAACAGCCAAACAAACAGAACCAACCAACCAGCCAAACATACTTCTCTATCAAGTCTCATTTGTTTTCCATTAATCGAGTCAAGTCTAGTAGTTATGTGCTAAGCAAGGAAAACCTCAGGAAGTCTCAGTGTAATTTAGTCACAAACCACATTATACAGCAGGGTCAAGACTAAAGTAGCCATGGATGTGTACAGAGGCACATCAGTAAGCGCCTGAGGATCTTTCCAGGGCTGTTTTCATGTTCATAGGCTTTAGAGTCAAGAGCAAGGCAGATGCTTTGAGGATCTCACTTCTGCTTTAAACAATTTGAATAGCAATTCAGGGCATATGCCCTTTTACCAATTCTACGTTGATGCATAAATCACTCCAGAAGGAATGTGCACAGACAGCACCACAAAGAGCCAGAATAGTAGCACTTCTAGCCACAGCACAGGAGTCCTAGGTTTCACAACAAAATCTGCTGTAAACCTGATGTTTGAACTACACAAGTCAGCCCATCTCACAAGATGGAGTGAGTCCAGTACTTAAGCAGGTATCAAACTTGACACAGACAGTTCTTTGAAAGCTACACATGCACAAATTCAGTAAGATTCAGCAAACTAATGGATTTTCCTGTTTTAATAACATTTGATCTGAAACTCTGCTCAGTTGAAAAACTCCAATCTACATCAGTGGACTTCAGACAATTCTGTTAAAGAGCTACCCCACAAGCAACATCAGCCAAATCAAATATCTTGACCATTTTCTATTATTTTTCTTTTAAGCTCAGCTTTTTATAATTATATACACATGGTCATTTCTAAAACCTGGGGAGGAAGGAATACCATTTATTTTTATTCAATTAAAGATATTGCTTACCTCCACTGCCCTGGCGACTTGTATGGGACAGCAAGCTCAAGCGCTTTTCTAATTGCAAAGCTTCATGAGCCAATCTTTCTTCTGAATAGGCTGGATTTGGACTTGGATCTTTAAAAAGAAATAGAAAACAAGTAAATAGAAGAAACATAGAAAATACATAAAAAGAAGGAAAGAAAAAAAGAAGACTTATGTTGGATAAGAATGTTAGCTATTCTTATGTTCTCGTGTTTGATCTTCTACCAGAGGAAGGGAAAATGCCGACTGGAAAATGTATGAGACAATCTGCTTTCAAGCACATCCTGGAGAAATCCTACATAATAAGTTATAATTTTAAGTATCAAAAACACTTTCAGAGGTTATGCCCAATGTCTGTAAGAGTTAACACCAGTGACAGAACCCTGAAGAGCACAGCATCAAAGGCAATAGCTACAGAGAAAATTAGCATCCAGAAGGTCTAAAAGAGTTGAAAACTAGTATGTGACCTGTAAAATGTGTCCTGACTTCACTGAACTCCTTGGGAATTTTATCATCAAGAAAGACCAAACTTTTCATCCCACAGATTTGTAAATCTACATCATAAACTCAAGTCATAGCGATTAAACCATCTGATACCTTCCAATCCAGATCACTTATTTACAATGACATTGCTTTCAAGTTTGATGTTCAGGTCATTAAGTTCAGAAGTCAGAGATGAAATAAGTAGCCTGGTGGTTCTCCGTCTTCATGTTGAATATAAAAAAAACACTCTTAAAATGTACTATCTGGGATTTTCCCATAAATTTCAGTGAGTTTGCCATTCCAACTGAAACCACTGCAAAAGGCTCATTCTATTCTAATAGAAAGACCAAAAGTTAAACAGAATGTGGAAGAACTTCCACCAGTGAAACAGGCTAGTTTTCTCTAAGCCATTTTGTTTCTAGCCAGGCACAACGATAAAACCAGATGTTGGAAATAATAATAGCCATTATCCCAAGAGATTACAGATTTCTTCAAACAGCACTGGGAAGCGTGTCATGTAGATCAGTGGCAAAGGATATGGTCTGCTAACTTGTTCAGCATCAAGAGTTTCAGTAGCTCTTTTAATTACATAGAGAAAGCAATTAATGACATAAAACAGGTCAGCTTCCTCACAACTGTTGTTGTATATCTGATCATCTGAATAGTAGTAGCATACCACAAAAACATTTAATTATTGAATCACATAATAAGAGGGGGAAAAAGGGAATAAAAAGGCTATACATTGCTGTGGTTGAGTTAGTAAGAAAAGAAACAGTTGAAATTACGAAAGAGAAAAAAAATCATTCCAGGTCTTTAAGTTTTAAAATACTTGGGTTTGATGTTGTCAACACAGCAGTCAAATCAACCTTACAATCAGGGGAAGGAGCACTGTCAGGTGAGCTGAAGCTCCCTGGGAGTCCCTGAATTATTAACTACCTGAGAAACAAGCTGACACAACTCTGCTCCATAACTGTATTTCACTTTCTGATCTGCCCTGGATAGATCCAAGTGTGTCACAGGAACAGAAGTGACAATGCTGAACTTTCTTTCCCATGTAAAGGGGGTTTCCATCTTTAGCAGTCAGCAATCTGGGTAAGATGAGCAGGACGAGCCATACACACACAGAGTCCTCCTATAACAGCATATGTTGGAAATCAAAGATGGTCTAACAGGGACAAGGCAACAATGCGTGTGACAAACACAGTCTGTGACCTCTGTGTGTCCCAGCTCAAACAGTGATTGATTTCAGTGTCTGACACCTTCCAAAATTAAAGAACAGAAAAGAGGACTGTTTGATATGGCTTAAGTTGTTAGATCTTCATTCTTATTTCCATTGCAATACAATTCATAATAAATATTGACTAGTTCAAACCTGTGTAACTTACTTAACTTACTTAACAAAACTGTATAAGCTTACTCAAACAAAACCACCAGTGTTTTCATATGGACCTTTGCAAAGAAAAATACATGACTTGGCCACCAGCACCTATGGTGCAACCCAGACAGGTCCATGCAAGGATCCTCTCAGTAGCATACGGCAGTACAGGCTGCTGCTTGAATCTATGTTTTAATATCCTCTTTTCCAGCTACTCTGCTGTATCAAGTTAAGTGCCTTTATGTCCAAAAAGGTTCAACAAAAATGTTCTATAAGCACTCTGAATAGAAAGGTGGCATAACAGATCAACAAATTAGTCTACCCAAGATGCAAGAGACACTAACCCTTCCCACAGCAAAACCTGTCACTAGGAAAGATCATTCCACTTTCCTCAGAATATGATTACTTGATAAATATGGATTTTAAAAACATTACTAGGGCACATACACAACTATTGGGTTTTTAGTAACTGATATCCATCTTACAGACAGCAAAATATATATCTAAAAAAAACCTTGTCAAACTACTGATCTTGCAAAAATAGCCCATAATAAAATACAAGATGAGAAGATAGGAGGGAAGTTGAAGCAAAACAGTAAGTTCGTATTTCACGTAATTGCTTCTAGAAGCCACATTCTCTGTGAGCTACACAGCTACAGAACACAACACATTTCACCCAACAACATGTAATCTCTAGGCATACTGCCTGTCTAACAGTACTGATAATTTTTATAGTCAAACTTCCCTTTAAGGACTGTCTATGTATAAAAGGTGGATATAAAATTAGGTCCTTAGTTGTGTGCTGTGACCTATCATTTCCCAGTTTTGTGGAATATCAATTAGAAAAACTGTTTCTCAACAAATACTAGGAAATACCCAGAGAAACAGTTTCAAAACCTGCCAAACACATATAGACTTTAAGTCTTAGGCAGATATTAAAAATAATTGTCCATCAGTCTTTCCAAAATCTTTGGTTTGCCCTGAACCTTCTCTGCTAATATGCAAGGCCCCTATATGGGCAACACACACAGTACTATTTCCCAGAAGCATCAGATCCTTATACAAGTATTTTTGGTTACAGACTACCGAGCACTAATCAGAAGGTTCTGACATAGGATAAGACTAAGAACTAAAGTCACGAGCAGCTACTTTTTAGAGACCAGTCCTTACTGGAGGGCACACAACCTAATACGTCCTGTCACATGTGGGTAGAAATATGGCCTAGAAGATGATAAAAGTGAGGAGGATTTCAATGGTAAAGTTGGATTTGTTGGCATCATCCTATAACTTCTGCATGCACAATACAAAGCCTCTAAATAACTGCATAGTAATTTACTATATTACTAACTCAGGAAGATAGAAGCAGCATGACCAGCACTGAGACAGCTGTCCAAGGAAGTTCAGACAGCTTCTTCCTACACAACATCCTGCAGTAGCTCCAACTCCAAGAGCAATTAGTACCTTCATTTCCCAAACTATTAACAAATGTATCTTATAACGGATTTACTCCCACGGAATTTAAGCAGTAAGATTCAGGTCTTTCAATTAAGGAAGTGTGTTATCATTTTCCAAAGAAAAATGGATCCCTTGCTATGAAAAAACATCTTTCATGTGAGGCATTCATTGAAATCTTAAGGATTTGCTGCTTTAGGGCCAAAGGGGAAGGATTACATCAAAAATGCCTTTGATGGTGATTTTATTTTTATATTACGTTGGTGGATATTCATTATAGCCACATCAGCTGCTCATCGTGGGAGATTTTGGATACTTTGGTAACATACAAATAAAGTGTCACAGTCATTCAAAGCGCCAGGGTTGTTTAGTAAGCACCTGTCAGGAAAAAATGTGTTGTGTCAAGTTAAGTCAGCAACTACCCAAGATATGCTTGATTACATGCATCTTTAAAATGCAACTGGTTAATTACTTCATTAAACAAAGGTAGGTAAGTTAAGCTGAACATCTGTCCTTTCTTTCTATCTTTGTAACTGTAGGCACATTTGCAAATCAGACCTGAACCCTCACCTTCATGCTAACATCTCCACACCTTGTAAGATGGAGGAATAAAAAAAATGCCCTACAAGCTTGAGGAGGATTGACTTGGTACAGATACTGCAGAAGGCTGCCACAGAACTGTCTTGCAATGGCCAAAGGTGCATCAAGCTTCAACAAAAAGAAAGAGCATCAGGTAGATCCTCAGCAAGCAGCACTGCACACTCCAGTCAGTCACAAAGCAGCCTGAAACAGCTTCCAGAATTAAGAGAGAGCATCCAGACTACCATGATTACACTCAGGGTCTTTCCAGCCTGCAGGACTAGACTGTCCCATGGCCTTAGATTTAGAGAACACTGCTCTACCCATTAATCAAAAATATCAGATTGCCTGTTGGATCTTTGCTGTGTTCATGTTTGGTGTTCAAGATGAATTTTGCTAGTGAAAAGGAGGAGTTCAACATACATCTGATACACAAACATTTGTCAGATAATACGCATGCAAATTCAGTACAGATTGCAAACTACGCAATCAGTGTTCATGACTATGTCAATACCTAGACTTCTGTCAAGACAAGAACATGAAATTCTCTGGTCTGGTTTCTAAATTTCTTCTCAAAAGAAAAAGAGACTATGCAAGTAGCCAATATCTTCCAACTAGTAGCTGGGGAAAACAAGCCATCCAAACACATCCTGCCACTCATTGGAGTCCTTTATTTAAAACGCTACACTGCCTAAAAACATCTACGGATACCTACACTACATTTGCATTCCTACTCAATGCTATATGTCTTAAATTTGAGACCTGACCATGCAGCCTTTAACAACCAAAAACCTCCAGCCTACTAACGGTGCTCCCAATGGGAGTACTTTGGTACAATTTGGCAGAATTAATGAACTCCCAAAATAAGTACCACACGGTAGTATATAGCAACACATCTAATGTTCTTTTCCTTCTCCATTTTATTTTAGATGTACACATAATATAAATCTTTTTATCATGAGAATATTCATAATCATTTTATACCACTCCCAAAAAGTCAGAGAATAATTCAGGTTGGAAGGGATGTCAGGAGTTCTCTAGTCTAAACCGTTGCTTAAAGCAGGTAAGCTATGAGAGATTAGACCAGGTTTTGATAGCTTTCAATAACCAGTCAAGTTTGAGTTCCACTGCACAGTATTTTCATTACATATGTGATACATTACCTAATAAAATACAGGTAGTGTTCATACATCTATGTTACACCAAGTTTTACAGAAGTACATATATTTTTCAAAACTACAATCCAGAAAAGATATGAATATTTTACTTGAATAAACATTCCTTGCACTTGCAGTTTACAAACTCTTTTTGGATACTGTGCATTTTGCATTTGTTTAAAGAATCATTTTGGCAAGTAAAAGTGAGAAAAACGGTCATTTTTCAGTCTTCTTCAAACCTGTCTTGACCATTTCCTATTAATTTCATGCTAACACTTGAATATTTCAGCCATATGGTCGAGCTGTTTGTATATGAAGCCACTGGGTTCATTAATTACCCTTCTTCCGAAGACAGAGTAAGCAGATGTTGACTGCATAACCTCACTAGATCATAATTATGTTGTGTACATTGGTGTCCAAGAACACCATCAATGTGACATTTTGTCACCACATTACATTATTTTCTCTGTACAGCTGCCTTTTGTGGGTTTTCTTCCTGTCTTGAAAATACCTAAGAGTTACTCAAGCATATTTCATGTTTATGTTGGAAAGGTACAGGCAACAGCAAGAAGCAAAATTCAAATAGCAAACTGTGGAGAGAAGGCCACTTCCTACGAAAGCTTTTGAATTACACAAAAGCAGAACACTGCATGCATAAATCCCAGTTGAGGCTGTGTAGCATTCTGCTCTGCAGTAAGTTTGAATAACACTGAGTTTTGATCTAGTTACCAGAGGTGTGCAGATGATTAATCTATTTAATAACTAACCTTTTCAAAAGGTTAGGCAAATTTCAATACTCTTGCCAGATACAGTATGTAGCTGGTAGAGACCTGACCTTTTCAAGCAATACACTACATTCTGTGTAATAGCATACTTGGTAAGCAAAATTACTTTATGGATGAATCACTACAATTGTACACTCGCATATGCCTTAAACAGCTCTGTGCAAGCTTCTGCATGGGATTAATAAATGAAGGAGAACTTAAAAAATACAAATCTTCTGTGAAGGGACATGTACATGGGGGTAACAACAAACTAGGGGAGACAAGGTAAAGATAGAAGGAAATGTAAGCTAGAGAGGTCAAAGTAGCTTGGAAAAAGGAGTCTGCAAGAATGTGAGCACAGTTCCCTACAGAGTACTGCTCCTGCCAGTAAAACAAAGTGTTTCCTGTCAGGGAAGCAAAGTGAAATCAAGTGGCTGAGTCTATCTTCACCTCATTTTAGCAGCAAGTCCATCAAGCACAGAAGACAAAAGAAAAAGACTTCAGAAAAGAGGTTTTCCCTTACAAAAACCACCATATAACTCCCAGGATATTCTAAATCCACTTTATGCACTTCAGTGAGGTCAAAGTTTGTAAAGAGGAAAGGGAATGTAGTATGTGGCTATGTATAACAACCCACAAATGCCAGAGTTGATAACCAAGATGTGAAAGCACAGTTATCTCTACGTGCCTCTTAAAAAAAGATTTTTCAAAGAAGATGCCATCTAAAATTAAAATTTTAAAAATAATAATAAAAGACAACAGAATAGTTACTTGCAGGCTTAATTTTTCTCGACAAATTTTTGTTAAATGACAAATTTAGGAGTTGTATATGTGTAATACACTTTCAGATATGCAGAAAAACGTGTTTAATAGCAGAGCTTTAAGTACCTGTGCTGCTCTTTTGGGTTTCTGTCACTGAAGTTTGTTGTTCGCTTTTTTAATAACTTCACTTACCTGAACGCAAACGCAGATCATCATATACGAGTGAGGTTTTACTGCCTACTATTATGCTTACTTTATTTACTTTGGTGTTACAACTACGGGAAAGAAGAGATGAACTGAGCCTTGCATTTAGCTTAACTAACTTTTCATAATTATTTTCACAGGCTTTGCATCCAGATCTAATTTTTGCCATCACGTTTCCTTCCTGCAATGATCTTAACTTAGAACATTATTAAAACCCTGACAAACTCCTGTTAACTGTCTAACACATACAAAAAATAAGTATTTCCCACAAATCCCACCTCATCCTTCACCATTCTTGCTGCCTATTCCCACTATAACCCACTGACAATTCACAGATATTTTTCTGTACTCTCATTTTGACATTCTTGCCCTGTTTGACACAGTCATTCATGACTCAGTACTATATTTCTTCATCTGTTAAAGTCAAAAGGAAACAGGGCTTACTGTGATGCCATCAAACTCCCCCTCTAGACATTACAGCACATGCAGCATTTACCATGAAATAGGAAAAGGAATTTAGTCCTTGCACATCAGAAAAGATACTCAAGCTGCAAAACTGAAATGTGATGTGGAGGCCTGAAAGGTTTCTGAGGTTGGCAAGGCTTCATTCTAAATGTTTCAGATGAATCAAAATGTCCTAGAAATCAGTTTTCCATTAAACTACCAAAATAGTAATGCAGACATAGTTGCATTTACATAGTTGAACTATGTAAATTTAAAACTAGAGGTTAGGGTTCCTTTCAATCCAAAGGGCCATATTTTAGTACTGTTAAATAAGAGAAGGCTAAAGTTAACAATATCACCAGGAACATGAATGAGCCAGAGCACCATGAGGGAACTGGATACATTCAACTGATAAACCAATACTGTGACATTTGAGAATGAAAACCACTTTGCACTTTCTGTACCCTTAGTGTCTGCAAGCTGTTCTTACAATCACAACAATAAAGCGCTAGACATGGCAAGTTCCTACTTTGCTCAGTTACTTTATACTTCCTATATTAACCTGGTAGGACTGGACGCAAACCAAAAGGGCCCTTCGTCGGGGAGATGCCACGGACGATACAGTCGAACAGAAAGCTGATCTGCTCTCCTTCAGCACAAGAAAGGAAAAATACACCAGCCCCTGCAAGAAAGCACAACATAAATACGTGTTTTTCACTTTGATACATTAGAAATATATTTCGATGATGTTATTTATAATATGGCACAGTATTAAGTGCAAGCCATGAAAAGACATCAACAAGATGTTATTCAAAGATATAAAAAGAAAAAAAACTCAGGTCAGCACACATGTACTACATCACAAACATACACATAAATTCAATAGCTACCTAGTCTTTTACACTAATTTTCTGAGATTCAGGCACTTAGAGCAATGCTGAAATACAAGCCATATTCTCAACACCCATCTGAGTCTTTTATTCTTCTATACCCTTAAAATTTTGTAGAACAAATCTTAGCTGTGCAATAGTCAGGAATTCTTGAAGTGTCTTTATCAAAATGAACCAAGGCATTTTTACTTTTACCCAGTTTTAACTGAGAGCAGCTTTTTATATTCCAATGAATTAGGATTTGGTTATATTGCTGGATTATAGTATAAATTTTCCTAGACTAAGTTCTATGTGTCTATTATTAACAGAATGTAACACAACTCCACAGGTTGTCATCAGATCTTTACCCTTTGCTCTATTCTGATATTTTGCTTTCCATTCATTAAGAATAGCCCCAAGCAAAATTAGAATGAGAATCACTAAGTAAACAAACAAGTTCTGAGCTGCATGATAAATGGCTACATGGACAACACACAAAACTAGAAGTGCTCCACAGAGCACTTTGAGAATTGCCAGTCCAAATATTACTCATAGGAGGAAATTAAAAAATAAACCTTAAAACATCAGGCAAAAGACCACCCATGCACACCAGAAAACCACAATAGCAAATCTCAGACCTGCAGAAGGCTTTTGCTTATTATTTTCTTAGGGACCTGGGCCCCTAATCTGGACATAAATTTCCCTTCCGCATGTCTCTAGTCAATTCTGAATTGTTTATGCTTTCTTGCCAATTTTAGTCCAAGGAGCAGAGCTGGTCTTGACCAGAATGCCTGTATCGCCATCATTTTCCACACGTATGTCCTGTTGTACCCAACAGGATATTCGCATTTTACTTAAGCAATTGGATCCACTTTCGACTACTTGATGAAGGGCTTTGGATTCAAAGGGGATAGTAAAGAGTGGACCACAAAACAAAATAATTATTTTAGTAAATTAGATATAACCTGCAAGTTGTAAACTGACCACTCTAGGAAAAGCATATTCTGCTCAACAGTCTTTTTGTCATTCTTAATTTATGTCCCATCTAAATCTTTGTCTGCTCTGCTTAAATATGTTCAGGACAACATTGTTAGCAGGATCTTAGTAACTTGATTTGTCACTCCACCACATCGGATTCCTCTTTAGATCTTACTGATCAAAACTTCTTCAGCTAAAGAAATGGAAATCCTGTTCTTGAAACAGTTTATTTCATTTGATGAACTGCTGGAAATTTAGCAGTCTGGTAGAAGTTAAATTTATACTTAAGGGCTGGCTTGCCAATCATTTCTAGAGAACAAGGTCTCAAATGTATTACTTGAGACTCAGAATAGACAAATATTAAAACGCTGAGGTATGTTTAGGCGGTTGAAAAGATGAGCACACACAGGATCATGAAATGTAAACCAGAGTAAAGCCTAGTTAACTCTGCACTTCTCTGGCATTGTTTCTTAGTATTGTTTTTAAAAACAAGCTTGCCCCACTTTTCCTTATGGCACATATACATGCCCTGGCTTCAGGATCAAAGACCTAGGAGATTACAATAGTAATCGCGCAGTCTGACAGGTATGAATGTTTCTGGTGGTGACTCAGTCTTGTCCCATTCCACCTGCCCAAGAGATGCCAAGAGTCAGAGAACACAGAATTAAAAAAAGCTAAGTGCAAAGCATGTATTCAGGAATGATTTGAAATTCAGTTCTTCCTTTGAGCTGCCTTCTCCTCCCTTCACAGAGTAGAGGGAGTCTAGGGAAACCAGTCTGCCTAATCCTAAATGGTATGACTCCTCCCCCATGAATCACACTGATGCCAGAAGCCATACCTTCCTTGAGGCATCAGGGCAGCACAAGGCTTTGATGGACTCTGAATATGACCTTCCCATTCCATGTTCAGTAAGTAAGCAAGATACAGAGACGACATGACAGAGGACATTCATATCTCAAGGGCAATGATATACTATGTGTCTTGATAATTCAGCAGAATCCTACATATCCACATTACCACTCAGGAAAAGAGCATTCCTTAGATATTTCTGTCATAAAGAGTACTTTGTTCTTTTATCACTATTGTCAAGAGTCTTACTTAAACTCCTAAGAGGCTATATAAGCTTTTGACTTTAATGGAAACACAAAAGTAAACGTGTGCTTACAAGCTGGCTGCTTAACTCAAGGGATGATTTCTGCAAAGAACTATCATATATCTGGAAAGCCCAAGATGAAATTTATTTGTAGATTCTATTATTCACTTGACCACCACAGTTGCCGATCAAGTCACAGGAAACATCCTCATTCTTGTTTTGCTAGGTAGAGCTAGATTGCAAGGGAAAGAAGCTTGGGAGTCCTTGTAAAACACATATGAATAGGTAAAGCTTAACTGTGTTTTAAAAGCATATATAAAATCCATCAGTTACATTTCTGCTTTCTTACTAGAAATTAGACATATCAATCATGTGCTGGAACAGATTTTGTGCAGAAGCATTTGGGAGCCAAGAAATATGTGGTATGCATCACTGTAATACCATGCAGCTGTTTACTACACCAAAGAGCTCACTCACTGACTCTCATCATAGGATAAGAGACTTGGTGAAAAGCAGCCTGCAGTCACTTGCATAAGGCTGAAACACTAAGCCTCTGTGTTAGTCAGCAGTAAAGCATTGTACAGTCTCCCAAACATTCAAGAGAAGTTGCCAATTTCATAAAACTTTCAAGTATTATTAAAACTTGTCAATGGTTTGTTTTAATTCATCATATTAAAAAAGCAAACCCATGGGCAAACACATCGTCAAAAGGCACAATAACCAAAAATTCCTTCAAATTCTGTACTGTGTGTGAAAGCAGGGAGGAAGAGTCAGTCCATTCCCATGAATTACTCCTCCTAACAGGTGCCAGGCAATGCTAGAGCTTGAAGTCTTTTAGCTACAGGACAAGTTCAAACCATGGCAGTTCAGTTCATGGTAATCATCATGTTGTCAAACCAGAATCTCTCAATCCTGACCTCATGCAAACCCCCTTTAAAAAGTGTCTCAGGCTGCCCTTCTTTCTGGTTAAAATTACAGCCAGTGTTTCTATTAGTGGCCATGATTACTAAAAAGAAGATAAGAATGTCTGTTGCCTGCAGTAGGCCTAAGTAACATAAAGAAAAAAAGCTGCACATAAATAGAAATTTTAACCTATGCAGCCCAGAATCTTTCAAGAAATTCAGACATTGCCCCAGTTCAACCACTTTGACTGCTTCTTATTTTCAAATAAATTCCCATTTGTTATAGGTTTCCTCGTCTCCTCCTTTGGCCCTTTCAGATATGCTGGTAGTCACTTCTACTATTTCAGAATGACTTTTAAGAGCCACTTGCAGAAGTCTTAGAAAGCAGAAAGCACCTAATTTCATCAAAAAAAAATCACAGAAATAATCCTGCTTATCCTGCAAATAGCAGCAGCATCATTTGCTCTTTCAAAGGCCACCACAGGTCCTCCAAGTTCCTCTCTTCTAGGAGATGCTGTTAGAAAACATGAGGCAGCTTCAAACTGCTAATGGAAGCTAATACTGAAGTACTTGAACATTAGAGATCCTGAATTCTCACAGTGTTAACATGCCCTTTTATTACCCTACTTGAATTTTTTCACACTAACCTCCAAGTCAAGATTCTCCTGGCAACTGGTCTCTCTAATTGAGAGCAGTGCGCTCTAACTGAGCTAGCAACTTACTGAAAGGCTCCTTTTTTCCAGCCCATTCCTCTAAATCAACCTCCTAATTAACTCCTAGGCTCAGATGCCAGGCTTTTTTGCAAACGGTATGCGTGACTGAGCTGCAGCTAGAGGAGCTGGGGGCAGAGAGAGCCAAATTTGCAGCTGTCAGGAGCAGAAGAAAGCATTTTCTGATCTCTAACAGTACAATTCCGATATTAAGTTCAAAATGTAAACGCTCTTTTTCCTACTTAAGAGTAAACTAGTGTTAAATGTCTTGAAAATGCACCTAGTTTAATGTTTGAAATCAGCATAATCTCAGATGGTTTCCTTCTGCCTGGATTGAGCACCAAAACCTTTGGAGTTGTACAAAACCTATAATGAGCAACTAATTGTAAATATAATTAAGCATTTTATATTTATGAAAAATCTAGTGAAGAAGCAAGGAATAGAAAGCTAAAACAGATTTCATATCCTTTAAGACATGACTTCTACCACAGGAATATCCAAAAGTAAGCTGCGCTTCTGTTTGAAGCTTCAGGGTTTTTTTATGGAGAGGAAAGGCAATCCAACCACAAGATTATCAGTTCCTTTTAGTATGGTATTTATTACAGTGGTATTTAAAACGCCACTTCACTAATCCTCTGCGTTCAGAGTTTCACAGGAAGAATGTCTGCAAAAATATAGTTTCACCAATAGAAAGTAATAGAAATATGAGTCCATTTCCAAGGTGCTGAATGGGACTGGCCAGTATAGATTTACAAAAGGGAGATAATGCCTAACCAGTCGGACAGTCTTTGATAAAATGACTGATTTGGTGGATGCAGATTGTTCGCTGACTTCAGCAAGGAATTCAGCACCATCTCCTGTAATATATGAATTGACAGACAGATCAAGCACAGACCAGATAAGAGAACAGTGGAGTGGACTGGAGACTGGCTGAAGTGCCAGGCTGAAAGGGTTATGATGAGCAACGCAAAGCCAAGCTGGAGACCTGCTTTTCTTTTTTAAGAGAAAACTGATTTTTTTTTTTCTCACAAGCTATAACGCATTCCTCCAAATAGTGGAAAACCTTCTTTAACTGTAACCTCTGAGTTAGGCAGGGAAAGATTTGAACCCAGATCTTCCACATTGAAAACAAGTGTCTTAAATCAGGAATCAGGATATAACTGTTGAGTCTATACTTACAATCTTTGTAACTCAGGTCTGTAATTTTCAACCAACAAAATAAACCTCCCTGGGGTAAAACAGTCAAAATAATTTCATTACCCTCTTCCCTAAATTTGGCTACAAGTCTCATGACAGAATAACTTTGGATGCTTAAACCTTTTACTTTTTCAGTTTGGTAATTGAAGAAATCCATTATTTCCACATTTCAGTATGCAAGTCAATCAATTTCACATCTACTCTGGCAATCTGCATACCCACTTGCACTCAGAGCTCATCAATTCAGCATGGCTTCAAACTTTTGAAGTTAAAACCTCCTTTTCTAATGATTTATATGATATTATACCAAGGCACTAATCATCTTTCCTTTCCTCTTGCATAATTCTTTGTGTTTATCTGAAGTGAGAGCGTGAGCTAAACTGGACATTGGAACAAGAAAATACTCTGCCTCTAAATATACTTCTTAGCTACTAGGGTACAGAAATTAGCTTCAGCTTACTTGCTTGCTTTCATTTAGACCTCATAAATCTCATGGTCCCATAAAGTGACAAACCTACTAACAGAGAAAGGAACAGACAGAAGTTCCTAACTTTTAAGAGCTAGAAGTCCTCTATGGGATTTAGACATTTGCCTTTACACAATGAGAGCCTTGATGCCACCTGTAACCTCAAAGCTCTGTCTCATTTTCCCTCTGCAAACAACAAAATAATGGATCACAATTTAAGAATATGAACATTAAACTATTTTTATGTTTTGCCTGACAGAATCCATAAAATTTAATTCCCTTATTTTTACTTTGTGTCCAAGAGCAATAGATGACTGAACACCTGAAGAGCCACAAGGCAGTGTTCAGTCAGGATTCCACATAGTCACATTTTTACTGAACATCAGGGTTGAAGCCTGCAGAAATTTGCTCAGTAGAACAGACCCTCTGATAAGAGGCTGCCTGTATGGCAAAGCAGCACAGCTGGTTCTGCAATCTCCACTTGGAATGAGACTACCATTTACATTTCTACATGAGGTTTCAAACATCTTTTAGAAGACAAGTTCCACTTGTACTTACAGAAGCCGCACCTGGTACCCCCTTCAAAGATGAATCCATTTGGGACAGCTCCATACCGACGCAGATCTGAAAGCTTCCATTGGCCCATGACACTAGGAGGAACGTCTTTTACAAGGACGAGAATGTCATTGCAGAAATGCAGGGTAGCAGGCCCACTCTCTAGTTTAGTGCCAGGTGCTACAAAAACTTGAAATCTATGAACTATCAGATAAGGAAGAAAAAGAACATTACTATGGAAAACAGAAGGAAGGTACCATGACTTATGTGATATAAGTCATCCTATTCATCTGTGGTATGTGGACCAACCCCTGCCCATACCATGAGGCTCTAGCATAAAGATTCTAAGCAGAGCCCAAACAGTCACATATGAGTACCTATAAACTCATTACTCTCTATTATGCCAGTCTGGGACAGGAAAATAACAAATTAAATATATATATATATATATACACACACATAAAATTATTGATTTATCCTAACTCAGGCTATTCCCCATCTCAAATTAGTCAGTTATCCAGCCGACGCTTCAGTTACCTCTTCCATCCTTGCATCACCACATGGGTTTCTTTCCGTCTCCTTCTCTAAACAGCCTGTGCCCCTCCTTTTCTGAGTGCATGCACACACACACATAACACAGTGCCCAAGGAGCCCAAAAGCCAAGGCTCAAAGTAGTAGGCAAGTTCTAACCAGAGCTCTGTCACTGACTCATTTGCAGCCCTTAATAAACAGCTTCATTCCTTCCCTAGCAGTAAAATGGGGAAAAATTACATTTTCCCACCTTTGAATCTTTTGGGAGTTGGTAATGGTAGATGCCCAGACATTTAAAATTACTAGGAAAGTAAGTGATTCATAGGTAATAAGCACTGTTAGATGTCAGTTAATTCTTCTTCATATTTCACAGCATAAACTTCAAAAGACTGGAGAAGGAAAGGAAATACCCGTCCCATCCAAGTTTACAAAATTCAGATTCAAATCCCAACTCCAGTATCCCCTATATTGCAAGAGTCTTTGCCTAAAGTAACAACTGCTCTAGGCTGGTCTCCCACCTTCTCCTCCAGAGCTGTTGCATTCTGAATTATAAGCTATTGGGTACACTTCAAGGGCTCAAATCTCACAGGGTTTCAAAAGGAGCAATTTAAGTGAGCAGGCACTTAATTCTCAAACTGCTTTGGCCTCCACTACTCCTTCAGTTTCTTTTCTCTTGTAATTAGACAATAAAAAGAAAGACAAAAATATGTCTTGGCACAGAGAAGCATCAGGACTGTTACATTTTCAGTCAGAGGCTTTCGGTAGAGCATTTATCAAGAAGCACAAAGATTTAGCTTTTGGTTATCCTTCAGAGATCATAAAAACAGCTACCTGCCTGTGAAATCTATCGGGTAAACTTCCAGGTAGTCTCGCTTCTTACAACCACCTTTCCCTGTTTCTTGCCTATACTTCTTCAAGCGTCATGAATATCAACAAGGTCTGAGTCTTGCTTCTCATCTAAACACTTGCTACATTCTTAGCTACCATCTTAGCTGTAAGTCAACTCCTCATCTATGACGTGCATTAGATAAGTTCCCTAAGGCTCCAGCAGAATTAGCCGCAAAGTCATTCGAGTGAAATGTGCAAGGAGACAGGGATAGATCTAACTAACCGCAGCTCTACTTACAGCTTTGCCAGTAGTATTGCTAGGGAGCAAATCAGTAGCCACACAATGTCCCCTTTTGGGCACACAGTTGTTACACAACCTGGTTAAACATAAACTATGAAGAAGATATCAAAACCATCATGATGAATAACATTCAGTAAGGAATCTGATATCATTTCCAACCCCTCTGCTCAGCACTTCACTGGCAATTAAACCACAGGAGCAGAAGCATCAGTATTCTTTCTGCCTCATAAATGAGGAATGAAGTACACTCTTCATACAATCAGTTGTAAGTTACAAGAGCTGCTAAAACAAAGAGCTGCAGCTCAGATTCTAGACCCCTGTTAAAAAAACAGCCTATCCAAATCTAAAGCCAAAGTCAAGGGAAAAAGAAACAGCAAACAGATCTGGACATGAAGCTTTTGCCATATGCTGCTTTCTTTGTAAATAGGACTTTTTTTTTCAGTTCTCCCCAACCATCTACTTCTCCTTCTCTGAAAAAATAATGAATAAGATAAAAAGCTGACTATGTCCACGAATAAAAGGTACTATTTAAGCTCCTAATTTCCTTTAGCTCCTCACAGCTAATCACTGACCTGCAGTATGCTAACTTCCTCAGAATGAGTTTGGCCTCAAGCACTTTTCTCACACCTGACCTGTGCCTCATCTCGCTTAATCCCAGTGTTTTTTCTGATCCTGGTTGTTTTATTCCAGGAATAACATCCACCTCCCCTGCTAAAAGCAGATGGAAGATACAAGGAACTCCGGTGCAAATGCCTCCATTCTGTGGTCTTCATTCAAGAACAGGAACAACTCCTTTACTCCTTTCCCTCTCTTTTCTTTTTTTTTTTTTTTGCTTCCCAGACTCTGAGGTCATCTGTCCATAGTCTATTTTTATCATCCAGCAACCTTACTTCCAAGGCACGCAAAGGCAACCTTACTACGCTTCAAGAAAAAACACCAGTCACCATCCTCTCTTCAGCTAAGATTCCATTCTTTTCTATTTCTTCCTACTCAAACCAGACTCATCTTAATTTGGCTTCTTTCTCCTAACTGAACCTTCACTCAGAGATGAAATCCTGAAACAAATTTCTGTACTCTGCTCTATCCTCCTTCCCCTAAGCTTTTTTGGAATTGATGTTCTACAAATTATTGCCAATTCAACCAATTGTACCTGGTTTCTTTCTTCTTCATTTCTTCACCTCCACACACGTTCTCTCCCACTATATCTTTACTTCATGGCTACACACATCATCATCCGATAGACTGTATTCCTGCCTCACTTTCCTTCAAAAACAAAAAGCAAACATCTTTGTTGCTGCTACATTGCCTCCTATCACAACCAGACTGAGATTAAATACTCTATCTCACCAATGCACCAGTGCAAGATCATGAAAGCCAGACCTACCCTTGTATGCTGTAAATAGGTCCTAAATCCAGTAAAGAAACAGAACCAGAACACCACACAGCTCCATCAGAGTGTATCAACTACTCCAGCTACTCGTGCCTGTACTGTTCAGAAACTATCTCTAACCTTTCGCCTTATGCAAGGCTTCATATTTGACAGCTCCAAGTGGTTCACGCATACATCTCTCTTGCGATAATTCTATATTTCATTACTGTAAAATTCCCACCATCTTTCTGTGTATGTACTGCAAAGGAATGAGTCCAGCAATGCAACAGATGGTAAAGCATATGTAACAAATGATTAAGATGGCTAATGTGCGTCTTCCCTACACCTACCCTCCTTCCCTAGTTATGACTAAACAAACATAAGACAGATACTGCGGATTACCAATATTATCAGTCTTTGTTCACCATTTTAGAGCTGCTAACCAAGAAAATAAAATAAAAGGATGCATAAGATTGAAGGTAGCTGGAAAGACTGTGTCTGATGACAGTCCTTATTGCAAGATGCCTCTTTCTGAAAGGGGACACCAGCAGTAATAAGCATTATAAATACAACACCTGGTAGGCAGCTCAGAAAACTAGGATTAAACTAGTCAAGTGCAACTCAGGACTCTCCTCCTCTTAATTCAGGCTCCCTCTGAAACCTGTCGTCAAAATCCCTAAGTAAATTGCAGGACCAGAAATAGAAATCTGGTCACTTTGCTTCAAAGCTACACACTTTCAGTGCCAAAATCAAAACCCAAATGCTCCCACCGTTAGCTGTCAGTACTGGGCAGTACCATGACCAAAACCTACCATAAGAGAGACCTGCTTTAAGATGCAAAGTGAAGACCAGTCTCTTCACTCTCAAATGAGTGACAGTCTTTTCCTTAACTATACTTCACTGTTTGCATTTTAGCTATGTTTCTGTTTGCCTTTTTTCCCCCAGAAGTTAAAAACAAAGCATGATAAGACAAAGGTTACCTTCCCCCAAACTGTAGCGGATTCGTACATCCCACGCATACATTGTTTCCTTGTTCTCAAATCCCAGCATCACAACTTGAGAGAGACAGATGATTGCAAGCGTGTGATTCAAGCCCTCATAGGGTAGCCCAGGATCCAAGCCACAGATGTCTTCTAAGGTCATGCTGCTCCTCTCCTTATGCCCTTTTGCTCGTTCAGATTTATCCTTGTACACAAGCATGAGCAAACAGTCTAAAAGAAGCAAAACTGTCAGAGATGATGAGGCAGAATATAGAACATAACACATTTCTCAGTGCTGCTCTTCAATACAAAGGTGGTTCACAAAGTCAGGGTCAGTCTAATAAGTCAATGCAAGAACTCAATTTCCTTTTCCCACCCCATCCCTAAGTAGTTTGTAGCCCCTGCTTTTAGGGAGCAAACATTCAAGGCATGTTTCAAGGGCAATCTGCAGGCTCAGAAATAAGGAGGCAAGTAAAAAATCTTCCGGTTTACTTTCCAACAATCCAGTGGTTTCTCAGACAGTCTCTGGAGTGTGGGACTCATTCAATTCAGAGCATCAGAAGTTACACTACGATAGCTGTTCACGTTACCACCACTAAAGACCAAGAGGCTAGTGTCACCCGTATTTCCATCAGAACATGCTGAACCACAAATGAAATTCTTACAGTAGTTCACAGATTACTCAACTGCTAAATGGTGAGCAGACTGCGTTGCCAGATTGTTGGTGTCAGCTCAAGTTTCCTACTTAAATGCTACACAGTAGCCATTGCTAAATAACCATTATGCCCACACCTTTTTGAAATGAAAATATTTTCCCGTGTCACCATTTGCGTTTAACCCCTTCCTAGAGGTATTTATTACACTGTAACTATGCAGCAATTCGGGTGCCATGGGAAACGCACATTTCAGAAGCAGCCCCAAAAGACAAGAAAAAGCGGAGAGGCCTCCCCTTTTGCACTTCTAACAAGGGCTCTCTCTCCTCTTCCCCCTTCCTATCACATAGCACTTGGTTGTGCAATTAACGGTCGGTATGGAAGCTGCTCCATCCACAGCTTAAGCTCCCCTACATACCATAAGGAAAAAGCCTCCTGTGCACCATCTGATGAATGCTAGGGTGTGGTGCTCCAAGCCCTGGCAAGGTGCCCTGCACCCTCAGCCCAGCAAAGGATGCGCGTATCTCCAAAGAGGTGAAAAATGACCAAAAGACTGAACCCTCTGCTAGCAAAAGCAGAGCTCTGCATTGCCTAACAACTGTTTTCATCCACCTGTTAGCAAAAACAGCTGCGACAATGAGATTCAAGCATTCTGCAATACAGTTGTGTGTCTGAAGAAAGAACAGCTATGGTTTACAGAGCAAGAGAAGTAAATCACTGGAGGCTTTTTCTGGTAAACCTGGCTCATTTAGCTAGAATAAAATACTGTTCCTGAGGAATAAGCCACAGGATCAGCCAGTAAGTTTTCAAAGCAAATTCCCTCATTTTCCCCCTTCAAACTTGTCTCACTTAGAAATCCAGGCCCGTGTTCACATGTCTAGATACTAGCTCTAGGATCTACAGATGCGGGGAAGTTTAACAAAGCCAGTTAAAACACAGGCATTTAAGACACTAACACACAACTGTAACGACCCAAGTACAGCGAGTTAGGTCTGAAGACTTTCAATTACTAAAAAATCTTTAGCCTACCAGCAACAACCTAGAAAAGACACCTTAATCCATTCTGCAGCAGTGCAGATTCACATTTTCTATGTGGAAAATATATACTTTCAGGCCCAAATGTGTTCTCTGTTAGGAACAGTTAGGGAAACCTGAAACCTACTTTTGCATCTCCAGCAGTAAAATGCTGGCTTTGAATAACATTTTCAATTTCCTCTTCAGAAGCAGGGAAGTGATTTTTTTTTTTTTTTTAATTCAAAATGTCATTTTATTTTTAAATCGAAGTGATATTTTATGTCAAAACACTGATCAAAAATACCTACGGAGCTTACAATGCCAGCTTTTTTTACAGCCACCAATCACCCTGAAGAATAAACGGGATCCAAAACCAAAGAACTGCGCCTTGAGAAGTCACCTTTCCCGCTGGTTTTAGTCAGCGCCTGGTATTAAACTTCTCCAACCCGACACCCGGGCACCACTGGCAGCCCGAGGGACAACGTTACACCGGGCACTGGCCGCGGTGACTCCGGGGGGCTCCGGCGGTAGCCGACTCCTATTTCTGTCCGCCTGTTTCGTTGCCAGATAATTTACTGCCCGCTCCCCGATTAAATAAGACAAAAAACAAGAGGAAAGAGCAACGACGGCTTGAGGGGAGAGCCGTCGAGGGTGATCTCCGGCGGCTGCGAACCTCGAAGGGAGCCCTGTGAATTCCCTGCCCTCGGGAACCCCCAGCCGCGGGCGGAGGAGGGAGGGACACCCCGGCACCTGCCTTCCCTCCCCCGGGACAGGCCCCCTCTTACCTGCCACCGGGGAGGGCTTGCGCAGCACCAGCCACCTACTCTTCCACTGTAACGAGAGGCAAAAGGAGAGGGTTAGCCAGGGCCGGAGGAGGGAAGAGCGGGCTCTTTCCCTTCCTGGGGAGGGGGCTGTCGGTGGGGGACCCCCGGCCCCAACCCGCCGCGGGGCCGGGCCCAAGGGGCGCTGCGAGCAGGGACCTTTTTTCCATCTCTCAACTTGACGTGACCCTCCACCAGCACGGAATCCGTCATCTTCAGTCATGATTCCGGACAGCTGCACCCGGCTCGCTGCACCCTCCCCGCGCTCTGGACCAGGGGTCACTTTCAAAATAGCTTTATTAGGTCCCCGCACAGGCACAGGGAGCTACGCGGGCGAGCGGCCAGCGCGGCCCTGCCCTCCTCGGCGCCCCCGGCCCCACCGGGCAGTGGGGCGGGCAGGGGACGGGGAAGCTTCTGGCTGAAGGGAGAGGGGGTCCCGGGAAGCTTTTCCCTCTTTCTTTATTCATGTTTTGTACCGCGATATTGGGGGTTAATTAATTGTGACTATTTTTCCTGCAGGGTGTCGGCAGAGGGAAGTACAAGGGGCGCACCCAGAGCTCCACAGCCCCTCGACGGCCGCCCCGCCGACATCCTCGGGTGCGACCCTGGGCAGGCGCCGACCCCACTCCTCCGCCCTAACCCCGCTCCGGGCTTTGCCTCTGACCGCTGAGCAGCCCGGAGGCTGGGGGCGGTGGGAAAGCCCGGACCGGATCTGTGCGCCCTCTGCCTCCGCGGAGCGGGGCCTGGCGCCGGCGGGCAGAAACACCCCTTTTCCCCCACCCCTCTTACAATGCCCAAATTCCTCTTTCCAAACCCGTAATTACTGCTCCCCTCGCCTCCCAGAAGACATGCAGCCAACTACCCCGGATAAAAATACTCCCTTTTTTCCCCCCTTTTCTTTGTAACGCAACTGTCACAAGATAACAACCCACTTACACCAAACCCAGAGCAGCTACAATTAACAGAATAAGATGTGTTAATGATGTCCTCGGATTTATTTCAACCAGCAATGGACTAATTAGAGTCCATTATTCTAAAAATACTCCTACTGCATCTTATTTGATGGTAATTATTTCTTTAGCTTTTTTTTTTATACAGCACATTTTTCTTTCAATAGCATAATAGAAGGGGTTTTTAGATGTTTGCATTTATTTCTTCCCTTTGAGTCGGTCAGTTTGCAGGGAATAACATATAATTTAATAAAACCATTTTTAAGTGTGTTTCATAATGAATTAGGGAGGTGTTTGTTCAACTGGCTTTGCATTCAAATTCAATTTCAGTGTAAGTGTTAGGAAAAATACCAGATAAAATTTCACTAGGAAGTTTAGATTGGCTTTTCATTTTAACCAAAGCCATAAACACTCAAAGGGAAGAGAAAAATACAGAGGTTAACTTTCTATGGGGTAATGCTCCACAGAAAGCCAGGAGGCAGAAGGTGCTGAAGTGCCCCATGGGAATGTGGTCAATGTCAGGGGTGTGAGAGGTCAGGCAAGGACCTCTTGCTTAACCTAGATGTTTACTTGCCACCCCTAGGCTGGCTTTATGTACTTAATACAGTGTTAGTAGCTGCACAGCAGATGGTTAAATAATGAACTTTAGTTCCACCAAATCAATTAAATAAATTTTACAAACAAAATAATTTTAATGCATTCAAAGTATGACAATGTTGACTGAAGATTTATCATTTAGACCTTTGAGGGCAGAAAATAGACTGTCTCATCTTATGAACATTCAATATGTTTTAAAAAATAAGTGTTATTTATTGTACTGATGTTGCTGTATACTGATATGAGCAGCATAGGTTTTGAAAATGGGACAGCTAAAAAGCTCTATGCAACGTTATCAGAAACAGCAGTCTAACACCTTTCCTGTCAAACAGCTGCCTTCTTTACAGCAAAGGAAGGCTGAGAGAATACATATAACACGCCAGATTAAAAGCATGTACAGGGGATGGATATTAATTTCAAAGTGAAGCTGAAGTCACAGAACAGATATGGATGTCCAGAATGGCATAAGCTTTCTGTGGAAACCTGTTCCAAATGAATCCTTTCCAAAGAAGAGTAAATAGCTCCTTCATGGTGATTTAATACTTGTCTTTCAGCAGCAGGTACTGTTAGTCTTGTTGCACAGTCACATTCATTTTATGGAGTTAAGCAAGCCAGGCTCATACTGCAAAGGGGCAGGAAGGCAAAGCCAGACAACAAGTCTTCAGCTTGTTTTGGAATCAAGACCCCAGAGGTGGATCTCATTTTCTCAAGCTAGTGTTTAGTGCGTCAGAAAAATGAACTGAAGACTTTGATCTGAGCATTCGCGGTATTCACAGCTGAAAATCACATCCAAGCACTTACACTAAGTGCTGGAAACTTGTGCAGCGCTTGCATAAAACTGGGAGCACCACCAGATGAAATAGATCCTTTACGCAGAACTTTTCCAATGCCTTCCAGCACAGAAAAGTGTCATTTTTCTACCAGCTTGAAACCTGTTGAACAACCTACAGAGGGATTCAAAGATCTAATTGTAACTTTATCCATAACAGATTAAGTCCAAGAAACAGAGGGTAAAACCTTTTATTAAACAGTTTACATCATTTATCTAGATAACTTTGTTATACATTTGCACTTAAACAAATTCAGGTTTTGGATATCTTTCCTTACAAAGTTTCTTTTAACTGCAGAAATCATTTACCACAGCTAAGGAGCCCATGAAGATGCTGCCAATACTACAAAATAAAACATATCTCTGAGTAACTAGGCACCAAAATTATCTATCTTAAAACACAGCTTTGCTTGAAACAACAGGAGAATTAAAAACATTCATTTTCAGAAGAAATACAATTCACATTGACACTTCCAAATATACACATCTGACCTGGCTAAAGGTTCCCTGTATTAATAATAATAATAAAAAATAAAAGTTGTAGTTTTCCATTCTTTATAAAATGATATTTTTTTTAATTGAATCATTTTCTGCCCATTTTGGTAACAAAGCTGAATCCGCAGCCTCTCAGTAGCTATATATTGTAATAGTTTCTTTGATTGTTCCCATAACAATTCCATAGACCATGACAGCGAAGCCTGAGGTTTATGAGATCACCAAATCCTCAAGGAAAATGCTGAGCTGCTCCCCCAGCCATCCAGTTTAAAAATCTTTTAAGAGAAACCTCCTTTCTGAATTACCTAAACAGTTGAACAACCTGTTAATACAAAACCTAAGACATCTTCAAAACACTGTCAAATTGAAGAAACATTTAGGCATTTATCATTAAGGTGAAGTGTTTCCATTGCTGTCCTCAGGGTGAGGAGCAGCTCACAGCCTGCAGAAGGTTCTGACTATTGTCCTGAAATCAGGTGCTCTGACTCCCAGCATTATTCAGCAAGCTTTGTGTTCTCAGAAAGCATTGTATTAACCTTGCTGGAAGACTGCACACCAGATTCAACAGAGCTCTGAAGCATGGTCCTGATTTTATGCTCATGGAACATAAAAATATGCTTACATGTTTGGTTGAATCAAAACCTAAACCCCCTGCTTTTTCCCCAGAACTGGTTTGTTGCAGCTAGCTGAGGAGCGCCTTCATCTTGATCTACTGGTGTCTCTCAACCTGAAATTCAAGAGATCACTTCTGAGGGGAGGGAATTTCATTTCTAGCACCGGTTTGGAATTGCTAAGAATTACCATGACAGTTACCATACTGTAACTTGTAGTACAATATTTATGCCACTTTAATGAAACCAAAAGACCCCTGAACCCTGCTTCAAAGGTTAACATATTCAAGTGTTCAACTAGCTTTTCTAGGGGCTATTTTCTCATTAATCCACTTTACATAGTTCGTCACTCGTGTATATACTCCAGGCTTGTTGACTCTGCCACAGCCATCTCCCCAGCTGATAATCCCATAAAGGTAAGAGATTTCATTTTCCTCACAGGCCAGAGGTCCACCAGAATCTCCCTGTGTTAAAAGTGAATAAAAAATTATCTAATTTGATAAAAAGCAGTAAGAAAAAGATCAGTTTGGGAAAGTCCTAAATTAAGAATGTTTGAATGTGAGATGTTAACTAAAAAGAAGATATGGAAGTAGTGGTCTACTGAAGTTTCATTATAAAACGGATTTTTTTTAGACAAACCTCTAATATAATGGTGGGGGGCTTAATTCTGCATAGAAAGAAAGAATCAAAATATCAGATTTTGTTTAAAAACCTGAAACATTTTTATATTCAGACACCTACTGAATACTATGATTGATTAAGATCACTTTCCATGGGAGTAAAGAAGTCTTTGAGGCTTAGGCTATGTTGTAATATGGGCCCTGCATATTATGTAAGGCAAGGAATATCTGGCAAGTTTCTCAGTGCAGTTTATTGCATCTCTCAGAGATCATGGAAGTTTTCATGATTTCATCATTCAAAGAAAGGTGTCACATACATACACACTTCTCCACGTGACTGTGAGATGCTATAAGTTTATGTGGTATATGGGGTTTCTTGCATCTGTTGAATTTGATGCTACTGAGCATTTACCTAGCCGTTAAAACCGTAAACTGAAAATAAGACCAAACCAATGTTTGATGACACACTGCTCCGAGGTTGACTTCTACAGAAATGAAAGTCTTGGAAATGAGAGGAAAAATGTGACTTAGTAAACACTATTGATGAAAGGAACCAGCACTCTACTTGTCTGAGACTAAGGAGACATACATTTTTATCCTATTTAAAAGGAAACACCTTAGGAGCAAAGTAGGTAAGGAAATTATGTTGCCTTTATACTAGGACATTTCTGTGGTAAATGAGGGACAACAAATGAAATCGTGCATCTGAGATCAATTTACTTCTCGGAACTTGCTTATTTCTCCACAGATCATCTTATTGATGGCAATTTTGGTATCTGGTACACTGATTAAACAAAAAAGTTTCTGATAAAATCTTTAAAAATAACCAAGCAGAACACATTATCTGCTTGTTCTTCTTGGTCTTGAAGTATTTTAATGCACAACAGATGGTTTATAATTTAATTTACCAGGCATATATTAAGAAAACTCAGAGGTCAGCTACATTTGTTGTGACATTAGAGGTTTATGCTGTTTGTCCTTAGACCACACTAAAAGTCTGCCAAAAGACTTGTCACCAAGAAAAATGAATTACTGATTCACTTATAATGATTTCATGTCATGAGCACTGTTCTTCAGCAACATCACTGACTCTTCATCACTGTTTCTCAGACTTCACAACTCTCTCCAGACTACTCGTCTTGTGCAGCTCCTCTCTCCTTCCCTCTTCTTTCTTCTTTCTGCCTCTCATTTCTGATCAACTCTGTTTTTCCAGGGCAGGGAGTGAGAATCGGGTACTGTGCTGTATCTTTTATTTGTGCTTCCTGGATAAGGCAAGGAAGACTGGCCAAGGAAGGTAGCCTCTAGTTCTCTGGTG